TCATCATCATCATCATCATCATCATCATCATCATCATCATCATCATCATCATCATCATCATCATCATCATCATCATCATCATCATCATCGTGGTCCTCATCACCACCACCATCACCATCGATACCACCACTGTGATCCAGCTCCCTCCCCTCCCTCCCCCTCGGACACAGACGCTGCGAAGCCCCGGGGCGGTGATGGCCACAGCCGCCGGTGCCGTTCCGGAAGCGCTCGCACTTGTTCAGCACGGCAACCAGCTTCAGCCCGCGCTCCTCGGGGCACCCCGGGCGCCGGCACGTACGGCCCTCCCTCCTCCTCCTCCTCCTCCTCCTCCTCCTCCTCCTCATCATCATCATCATCATCATCATCATCATCATCATCATCATCATCCTCCTCGTCCCTCTCACCCTCCTCCTCCGCCTCCTCTTCTTCCTCCTCCTCCTCCTCCTCCTCCTCCTCCTTCTCGTCCCTCTCCCTCCCGGGTCCACGGCACGCACAAGACGCAGCTCGCGCAGGGCTGGCTGTGGTGTGAGAAGCGCGGCGCTACAAGCTACCTCGGGAACCACCACAGCAGGATCGTGGCAGGAGTAGCGCGAAAGCTTGCCAAGCCCTGCTTGCCGCCCGCGGCCGCAGGCAGGCGAACTATCGATGACATGCAGAAGGGAAGGCTGCCCAACCGAGGACGCAAGGTCACACCAGATGAGGAGTACACAGAAGGAGCAGCTCCCGAGGCAACAAGCCCGAGCGCCACCAGACAGGGGATGAGCAGCGAGGAGGTGATAGACCTGGAAGCAGAGAGCTCCGAGCTCGACGCAGCCCAGCCAGAGCCTCAGCGGCCCACGCCTCATCCCCTGTCAGTTGTCCAGGCTAGCGGAGCAGTGGATGAACATGGTGGACCAGGAGGTCTGGGACGACATGGACGACTGGATGGAGCACTGCATGCCCTACCTCATGCCGGTCACCAACGTAGGTGGCAGGACGGCCAGCGAAGTCCAGACGAGGGCAGCGACGCCACAGGAGCACCAGCAGCTGAAGGACTTCTGCGAGGACATCTGGAGGAACACCCAACAGAGCGCGAAGGAGGCTCATGACGCAGATGCTCACCCTCCCGCACGGGACCAGGCAGCTGGCAGCCAGGGTGCACATGGAGGCCTTCCAGGGGAGGAGGGACGACATCCTGGCGCACAGCATCCCCAGCATAGAGAGGAGGCCACTGCCCAGCACCACGGAAGGGTATCGGGCCTGAACGCCAGAGAACCTGGATGACGTCTCCTGTCCCAGACAGCGCAGTTCCAGAACTGGAGTGCGCAGAGAGTGACCAGGACATGGGCATCATCCCAGGACAAGAGCCGCGCAATGACGACACCACCGTGGTCCAAAGGAGCGCCACGGTGCAATGGGCTCAGCTTCCCAAGTCGCCCGTGCCAGACCTCATGAAGTACGTGCAGCAGGCAAAAGACGCGGGCATGCAGCACCCCAGGCTCCGACAGCATCGAGGCGATGACGATCAGGACCCAGAGAGGGAGCTCGCGTGGCTAGAGCGGAACCGTCTGAAGCAGCTCATGCAGTCTCTGGCAGGGTGCTGGACCCATGGAGTGGGGGAACAAGGATGGAGGACGTGGCGGGCAGCGTGCGTGCCCTACGTCCTCAAGACCCTGCAGACAGGCCTATACCAGCGCCTTTTCAGCGACAACCCAGGCCAGGCACGCCAGTGCAGCCAGCGCACAGCGGCTGAGGAGATATGCCGCACCGCATGGCTGAACAGCGAGGAGGCACAGCGAGCAATCCAGCAGCAGGACCCGGAAGAAGCGGCAAGACGCAGGCAGACGGCGGAGATGGTGCTCGGCGTGGGCCCGCAGGTGGACGACGACGGCAGTGGAGGAAGCAGCGGTCCCCAGAGTGGGGAGGGGTTAGGCCACAGCAGGCCCCAGCGTGGCGAGGGGTTAAGCCACAGTGGACCCCAGCGTGGCGAGGGGCTGGGCCACAGCGTCGTGGGCCAGCCCCACAGCAGCCGAGGAGGCGGCGCAGAAGGGATGTAGAGGGGTGCCCTTGCCCCGCCAGCAGGGAGCAGCACCATGGACATCGAAGACCACGACCCCCGCGAAGACGAGGAGGTCTGCATCGGGTACCACCAGCAGTGGGACATCCACCAGGACGCAAGAGAAGAAAGCCTGGCGCCAGCAGTGGGACCAGCCCAGCGGGCCCCGGGCCCCAGCGTGGCAAGGGGTTTGGCCGCAGCGGGCCCCAGCGTGGCGAGGGGTTAGGCCCCAACGGACCCCAGCGCGGCGAGGGGTCAGGCCGAAGAGGCCCCCAGCGTGGCGAGGAGTTAGGCCACAGCGATCCCCAGCGCGGCGAGGGGTTAGGCCGCAGCTGACCCCAGCGTGGCGAGGGGTTTGGCCACAGCGGCGCACGCCAGAGCCAGGCGTGCAGGACGCCAGCGAAGACCAACGAGGCGGCCGAGCAGCCCCACGGGTCAAGGGTGCCGCAGCCAGCGCGCACCCTGGAGGAGCGAGGAGCCGAGGAGCGGCAGCGGCCGTCCATTACCAGCCTGGAACAGATCCCTATCCCTATGCTGGACATCTTCTCATCACGGTGCCAATCTTAGGGATTCCCTTATTTTCTGAGGGCGAATCCCTAAGATTGTCATCGCCTTTTGGCGTGTCAATCTTAGGGATAGGGATAAGTTCGAGGCTGGTAAGTCCAGCAGGCTGCTCCTCGAGCCCTGAGCTCGAGGCGAGCAGCAGCGGCACAGACGCTGCCGTCGCCCGATGGGAGCTGCGACTCGCGGCAGTCGGCAGCCCCCTCTCCTCCTCCTCCTCCTCCTCCTCTCCTCTTCATCCTCACTCTCCTCCTCCTCCTCATCCTCCTCATCCTCATTCTCCTCCTCCTCTCTCCTCCTCCTCCTCCTCCTCTCCTCCTCCTCCTCCTCCTCCTCCTCCCCCTCTCCCCTCCTCTCCTCTCCTCCTCCTCCGCCTCCTCCTCCTCCTCCTCCTCCTCCTCCTCTCCTCCTCCTCTCCTCCTCCTCCTCTCCTCTCCCCTCCTCATCTCCTCCTCCTTCCCTCCTCCCCTCCTCCTCCTCTCCCCTCCTCCTCCTCATCCTCTCAACAACATTCTCCGCCTCTTCCTCCTCCTTCTCCTCCTCCTCCTCCTCCTCCTCCTCCTCCTCCTCCTCCTCCTCCTCCGGGCCGCAAGCGGCCGAAGACGCCGTCCGAGGGCAGGCAGGCAAGGACAGCCCAGGAGGGCCCCAAGAGAGCCCCAAGGTAGCCCAAGGTGGCCCAACGAGGCCCCCCAAGACAGCGAAAACGGGCACAAGACGGCGGGAGACAGCCCAAAGACGGCCCAAGACGAATTGCTCCAGCACAACCAGGAGAGTGCCCAATAAGAATCCAAGGACTAACGAAGAGGGCCGCAAGACTGCCCAAGAGGGAAGTCGGCAAACGTGCCAAAGGGGCAACAAGACCTGCCCACGCGGCCCCGAGTGGCACCAGTATGCCATTGACACGCCCCAGGAGGACCCGCAGTTCGGCCACAGGGGCCGAGCTCAGGAGACAGACACGACTCCCAGCAAAAACGTGCCAGGTGGTGTGGATCAAGACATGCGATCTCCGTTCGAGCTGAGCGAGCGCCGATGGTGAATGAATGTCAAATTCACGGTCCCCCCACTAGCTTCTCATGTCGGTCAAGGCTCGACACGGACAGACCAACAACGCACAATGAACTGCAAAGAGCTTCGCGTGTGATGGGCGTGGCCAGCTCTCAGACTGTCGACTGGATACGCTCGCCAAGCTCAGAATGGCCAGGCTCTCTGCACGGCTTCGAATACCCCAAAGGGCTATCTCTATCTCACTGAGCTGAGGAAACTGCGGTTCCACCGCAGGACAATTTAGACTTGCACAGCGGCATGCCTTGGGGGGCAACAGAGCACATCGGAAGTCCCTCAGGCTCGGGAGAACTTTAAAACAGTTCTGCCTTTCGGGGACTGCCGACGCAAGGACGATAACGCCTTGTGGAAGCTCATGTGTCCCAGAATACCGAATCTGCCTTTCAGGGGCCGTCGTCACAAGGACGATAACGAGTGGCAGAAGCTCATGTGTTGCAGAGTACCAGAGGTGTTAATGACGTGAGGTTAGGAGAAGTTATGGCAGGACAGACGGCACGCCAATAGAGGGTATTTCGGGTGGGATGTGAAGCAAACCGTTCCAACCCGTATGGCAGCCCAGTACGAGAGCAGCGATCAAAGAGAAGAAAGCGTGCTGGTGTGGACGGGCAGACTTTCGAGCCATTCAGGGGCAGAAGGGAGAAGGAGGGGAGAGGAGGAGTAACAAAGAGGAGGAGGACGAAGAGGACGAGGAGGAGGAGGGGGAGGAGGGGGAGGACGACGACGACAACGGGAGACGGAAGAGGCTGGGAACATGAATAACGACGAAGATGAGGACGGCGGATCAGGAAACGGGTAAGCGACCCCGACCTCCTCTCCAAGCCACAGCCCCCCCGTGCAGCGCTCCCCGACGTCTTCCATGTAGGTCGTGTAGGGCCCCCAGTACTGGCCCTGCGGAGCAGATGACCATGCCGCGGCACGAGCTGTGCCCCGCACCCCTTCGCATCAGCTGCCTCTTCCACTGGAGGCGAGGATGAAAGATCAGATGGTGCTCTCCGTGGGGGCCTCAGGTCTGTTCCATGTTCATCGAAAGTTGCGCGGACCAGTGGACTCTGGATGGGCCTGTTCTCCACCACCACCACCACCACCACCACAAGCTGGAGGGGGGAAGGAGGTGGAGGACTAGGAGGACGAGGAGGAGGAGGAGGAGGAGGAGGAGGAGGAGGAGGAGGAGCAGAAGGAGAACCCCCTCCCCCTCCAACTGATGGTGGTGGTGGTGGAAAGCAGGCCCATCAACTTTCGCTAGGGATCCCGACCCCGAACACGAGCTGGCAGAGAGCCAGGCCGTCGACTACAACCGGCCCCACTCGCTAAAAAAACCAGCCCCGAGGGCGAGGCAAGGCCTCCTCCTCCTCCTCCTCCTCTCCTCTTTTCTCCTCCTCCTCCTCCTCCTCCTCCTCCTCCTCATCCTCCTCCTCCTCCTCCTCCTCCTCCTCCTCCTCCTCCCCTCCTCATCGCCTGGCTGCCCCCATCCCTCATCGCTTCTATACTCACCTCCTGGCCTCCCCCCCTTTGCCTTCTCCTCCCACCGCCCCTGCCCCCCCCCACCCAGGGCGTGAGGGCAGCTGGGATCAGCGGCAACGACAACTCAAACAGCAGCGCTCGGAACCAGAGGTCCGAGCAGACCTCCCGCGTCGGCGCTGCCCCCACTCCTCAAGGGGACCCCGGGACACACAAAATCACGTAGACACGAAGCCAAGGATTCCCCATATCTTCTCATTCTCATAAGTTTTCTGGGTCTTCGTCGTCTCCCCCCCCTTCCTGTATTTTCCCCATCTTGTCCTGGGAGTCAACGATTGCTCGTGTCTGTGAGTGCTGCCCCTCTCTTCCCAGGACTCCCATCTTTTCCCAAACGCCTTGGCTCTTCGTCTTCCCCCCCACTTCCCATATGTTCCCATGTCTTCCTGGGAGTCTTTGGACGCCCGAAATGGGTACGGAACAAATGGAAACAATGCCCAACAACAAATGTGGTCCCAAACCAACAGCGGCCACTGTTGGGCAGGCGGCCTTATGCCTCAAGTGGGCACAGGCCGCGGCGGCGCGGACAGCGAGTCCTGCTGAAAAGGAACAGGAACTGCTGTTGGGCATTGCACCCACTCTTTCCGTACCCGAGGAGGGGGAGGAGGAGGAGGAGGAGGAGGAGGAGGAGGAGGAGGAGGAGGAGAAGGAGGAGGAGGAGGAGGAGGAGGAGGAGGAGGTTCGTGCCGAGAGTCGACGAGGCATTCTGTCTGTGTGCTCCGCCCCCTCCGGAAAACTTCACCCGCCGCCCGGCGCTCCAACCTGCCCTCGCCGCCCTCCCCCTGGCGTTAAGTCGGGCCTGTCCTCCTACAGGGGGCTTTTCGACGAAAGATAAAAAATACCCCAAAAAAATCAACAAATAATCCAAAAATAGTCTGGGGACCAATTTTTTGATTATTTCTTTGCCTTTTTGGGGGGGCATTTTTGGCGTATTCTTAATTTTCCGTCGACAATCCCCCGGTAGGGCATTTTTGACCTTTGCGGGGCATGTTTGGCGTCTTATTATGTTTCGTCGACAGCCCCCCTGTAGGGCATTTTTGACCTTTGTGGGGCATGTTTGGCGTATTATTAGTTTTCGTCGACAGTCCCCCTGTACGGCAGGTTCGTGTCGTGCCGACCCCAGCGTTGGTTTTTGACACCGCAGGGATCGTTCAACCTCGAACGATCGGCCGCTGCCGCAGCGTCCGATCGTTCAACGTCGATCGATTCTGGGTCGCCGGCGGCGCTCAACCTTGAACGCCCGCGCTGGGGTCGCCGCTGGTCGACACGACAGTCCCTCGGGGATGGACAGACCCCCCTTTAGTAAAACGTGGTTTAGTGAAAACGACCTGCGGCCCAAACATGGCGGGCGCAAGCCTGGAAAATAACGGCCGCGGCGCCCTCTCGAGAACCGAAAACGGACAATTCACTAATCGACGTGCCACTGTTGGGGGTTCTGTCCACCCCCGATCGTCAGTCCCCCTGTAGGGGGACACGCCCGACAGAACCCTGGCGGGCCCCCCCCTCGCCCCGCGGGCGGCGGCGAAGGGGGGCCCCCGGCGCCGACCCCACAAGAGAGGTCCTCGCGGCCCCCCCCCCTCCCTTTCCGCCCTTTCCTCCCTCCTCCCTGCTGTGGGGCAGCTGCTGGGAGGGGTCCTCGCGGCCCCCCTCCCCCCTCCCTCCTCCCTCCTCCCTCCTCCCTCCTGCCTCCTCCCCCCTCCCTCCTCCCTCCTCCCCCCTCCCTCCTCCCTCCTCCCTTCTGTGGGGCAGCTCCTGGGAGGGGTCCCCGTCGGAGGGAGAAGGGGAGGACCGAGCCCCATTCAGAGGGCTCCTGCGCCGGAGAGGGGCCTCGGATGAAGCGGGATGAAAACAGGGTCGAGCGGGGTTAAGCAGACCAGTCCGGATGAAGCGGGATTGAGCCAGATTTCGGGCCATGGCAAAATCAGCATCTGACCTCGCAGGAGTTGCATCCGAACCTCCCTACAAAAAAGCATGCGTCTGCTGGCCTTTTGGCATTGGAGGCCTCCGAGGTCGGGGCAGATGGTGGGGTCGGAGGATCGCGCAGCACCGGCGATGCATCGGCGGTGCATCGTCGGCGCAGCATCGGCGATGCACCGGTGATGTATCTGCGACGTCGGCGATGCCTCGGCAACGTCGGCGTGGAGAATATCGGGTTCCCCATCGAGCCGCATCGTCGATGAATCGGCGATTCGGCGCGATCCACCGACCCCATCTACTCGGACCACATCTAGGACGCCTTGATTGGTTCGAAGGAGGAGCGGAGGCGCCACTCCTGTTTCGAGCAGGTGGAACGTCCCCCATAATGGACGCCCTGTTGCAAGCAGCCGCATTGAGCAGAGGTCTGGAGCCAGACCCCCCCTTCCCCCCCCTTCCGCCCAATGTCGAGACGCCGAATAAGAAAACGCTCACAAACGAAAAATCGTCACCTAAGTATATTTCGACTATTCCTGGGTCTTCCTCCTGTAGAGGGCCGTGCTGGAGCGGGCGACCGTGCGCGGCCAGCCGCGAGGCAGGCCGAGCCCAACCGCCCCCGCGAGGCAGGCCGCTGCTCACCACCCCCCGAAGACCTCCAGGCGCCCCTGCCCTGCACGGCCTGGCCACGTCGTCCAGGAGCGGGGAGCGGCGAAGGCGGCGGGGACAGGAGGGGAGAGGAGGAGGAGGAGGAGAAGGAGGAGGAGGAGGAGGAGAAAGAGGAGGGGGAGGGGGAGGAGGAGGAGGACGAGGAGGAGGAGGAGGAGGAGGAGGAGGAGGAGGAGGAGGAGGAGGGAGGAGGAGGGAGGAGGAGGAGGAGGAGGAGGAGGAGGAGGAGAAGAGGAAGGCGGAGGAGGAGGAGGAGGAGGAGGAGGAGGAGGAGGGAGGGTGGCCTCTGGAGCACTTGCGCAGCACAGCATGCAGGGAGAGAGAGAGAGAGAAAGAGAGAGAGAGAGAGGAAAGGAGGGAGGAGGGCGGGACATTAACCAACCGAACGGCTGGCCGATGCCTGAGCTGTAGGCACCGCTGTCTCGCGCCCCGCCCAAGCAGCAAGACCCGTCCTGGGAGGCCCTGCGGAACTTAGGAATAGAACATCCAGCAGAAACCCGGCGCCCTTCAAGGGTATCTGCACGACCGCAATGGTGGCAGACATACATTCTAGCTAAACCGGTACCTGAAACCCAGGCGACGAGACTCGCTCAGCACGAGTCCACAAACCTCCCCGACGACAACCTCCTCGGGCCACTTCAGGGCCGCGTCGGAGACGCCATCGGAAGCTCGAGACTCCTGCGGCCTGCCCGAGGTCGAGAGGCCACAACACCCGAAACATCTGTAGCGCTTGTTGCACTGGGCGCTAACGCGGGCGGCTCTGTCCCTTTCGGTCCCCAAGGCGAGCTCTCTCAGGGAACTCCAAAGAGTCCTCAGACTTGATTGGATCTGCCGCTGCCGCGTCGGCAAGGGCTCTGCGGGCGTTTCTCCTGACCAGAGCAGCGGTTGTGCCCCCCTGGTCAGGGGGAGGAGCATCAAAGACAAGGCCCAACATCCAACGACGCTCTGCAGCCTGGCCCGCTGCTGCATCAGCCGCAGCGTTGCCAGCGGCGTGCAGACCTCTCTTGTGAAAGTCTGTGATGATGTGGATCAACGCGGGCGGGCCCATAGAACTGAGACGTCACCGTCCCCCCGGCTCTCAAGAGCTCTCTTACCGCGCGGCCGAGGATCCCCCCTCCGCCCGCCACAGGCCCAGGAACCTCCCCCGCGCCCAAATCCGACAGAACGAGGTCCGTGATCTCCGCGGCAGGCGGGCGGAACCATCGGAGCCCTCGAGGGCGAAAGCAGAGGCGGCGAGCTCTGATCGGGGCACAGCCCGAACGCGGCCAGCCGGGCCCACCGGGACCCCTCCGAGAATCTCAAAGATCTGGCTACTCCAGATTCCATAACAAAGGGGGGTGGGTCACATTGGGGGGGGTCTGATTCGAGCTGTCTCGGAGGGTTCGGAGGGGGTCTGGATGGTCTGGGGTGTCGTGGGAAAGGACTGGGTGAGGAAGCCCTGCTGGAGCAGCTCCCCGGAGCCACAAAAGGAGGAGGAGGAGGAGCACGAAAGAAGAGGAGGAGGAGGAGGAGGAGGAGGAGGGGGAGGAGGAGGAAGCCTTCCCTTGCTCGCCGCATCCCGTCCTTGCCCCTGTCCCATGCCCATCCATCTCTGGCCCCACCTCAGCCCAAGCTTTGCACTCTCAGTGAGGTGCACCTCCGACTGTCACCTTAACTGCCACTGGAGCGGTCTACAATCAGTCCAGCACGTGGTTCGTGCTCGTGGTCAGTGCTCGCCACATAGGGTCATGCACGTGCGCATGGCAAGTAGTGTCGCGCGTGGACCACGCATACCCATCTCTCGGATCACGTGTGTTCCCCGTCTGGTTCGCATGCGCATCTCTAAGATGATACATGTACGCACGGTGCTGCCATCGAGGTGAAAAATGTGTGCTGCACGTCCCGGAGCTGCATTCTATGAGCTCTCGCTCTTTCTCGGTTCGCTCGCTCAGCTGGCTACTTCTCTGATCCCTGCATCGCGCAAGACACCCTCGCTTTTTTCCCGACGGAGGCAGCCACCAAATCGCTCTGTCTGCGACGCTCCCGATGTGGGCGCTGTGGGCAGGCATTCGTGGCGGCCACGTCCGCGAATTCCGCTGGCCTCCGGTGCACACCTCCATGGGTCGACCTACCGGTGTGGTCTGCAAAGGGTGTGGCTTGCAACCCGCACCCCCGGGGGCCCGCGAGGCCCTCCGCGGACTCCTCCGCCGCCGCGCCCCGGGGAGGAACGACGAGGGCAACGTGGGCCCCGGCGGTGCCATGGCAGATCCGCACCCTGGCGCAACCACTCTGTAGTCGCCGAGTGCAGGGGGCCTCCTAGGTGGGGTCCCAGAGGATGGGGTCGGAGGCTCGCGCCGCCCCGGCGATGCATCGGAGGTGCATCGGCGACGTCGAAGGATGCCTCGGCGACGTCGGCGTGGAGGAAATCGGGCTAAGCATGGAGCCGCATCGCCGATGCATCGGCGATGCGGCCCGAAGAGTCGACCCCATCTACTCCGAGCCCATCCGAGAGGTCTAGAGCTATGTTGCTCCCATCGTACTTAAGGACCACATCGCAGAAATGATGTCGAGCACCCGCAAAAGTGTCGAGAGAGCGTCGAAACAGTGTCGGGCGAGTGTCTCCCAGGGCCCGAGACGTGAAAACCCTCGAGTTCCTGTACCTTCTTTCTGTTCTGGTGCTCGAGATCCTTTCTGGCGATCGTGGCTAAAGTAGGTTTCAGTCGGGCATGTCCCCCTACAGGGGGATTTGCGACGAAACATAAACATACTCCAAAAATACTCCAGAATGGTTTAAAACAGATGATAATAATAATAATAATAATACTAATAATAATAACAATAATAATAATAAATAATAATAATAAACAACAATACATAATAATAATAATAATAATACTAATAGTAATAATAATACTAATAAGAATAATAGGTACTAAGAATAATAGAATAATAAAAATAATAATAACAATAATAATAATCATAATAATACTAGATGTCCCCATATCATTTCCTTTTGCTATGTTTGAGCACTCCCCCTGTAGAGGGACAGGCCCGACTTAAAAAAGCAGGCTGGCACACCATAAGCCCAGACCGTGAGCTCTCTGCGGAGCGCCTCGGGGCGCCCCCCCTGCCGGGCCCCCCTCGGCCGGCGGGCCGCGCGCCGCGGCACCCTACGCCCCGCCGCGGCGGCCCCCGCGCCCCGCGGGCGGGCCGCCCGGGCCCGCCGCGGCCTCCGCGCCCCGCTGCCGCTCGGACGCCCGAAGTTCGGGTCGGGCGAAAGGGGGGGGATAGCAACAAAGGGGGGGGGCTTGAGAATCAGCTCACGTGGCTGATTTTCCCGGCGCCTCCCGGCGCCGGGAAGCGCCTACGCGTCGAGGAATGGGCACCTCGGTGAGGCCGAAACCGGCTGCGTGCAGCAAATTTCGAACCCCCCCCCCTTTCCCAATCCCCCCCTTTCGTCTGGCCCGAGAAGTGAGATCCGCATTCTCGGGCCGGACGAAAAATGAGAGATGCTCGGAAAAAGACTCCAAAGATGCCCCAAACTAGTCCTCAGACTATATTTTCAACTATTTTTGAATATTCCCGGGCCGGAGGAAACATCAGAGACTCTCGAAAGAAGACTCCAAAGATGCCCAAAACTAGTCCTCAGACTATTTGTTTGACTATTTTTGAATTTTCCCCCTGTAGAGAGACGGGCCCGACTTCACGAGGAAAGGAAGTCGCGCGGAAGTCGAAGGGGCAGGTTCACGCAGTCTCGGTGCCCCGGTCCTGGCCGCGCCCGAACCTGGGAGGCCCGGGAGCACCTGTCGGGGGGAACGGAAGGGGGGGATAGCAAAGGGGCGGATTTGAGAGTCAGCTCACGTAGCTGATTCTCGGTGCGCCTCCCGGCGCCGGGAAGCGCCTGCGTATCGAGGAAAGGGCCCCTCGGTGGGGCCGAAACCAGCTGCTCGCAGCAGATTTCGTACCCCCCCCTTTCCCAAGCCCCCCCCCCTTTCGTCTGGCCCGACATTCGGCCTGACCTAAGGAAGGATAAAGAAGCAACGAAGCCCCTTTTTGTTGCTCCAAGTGAGTCTGCGAAGTCCGAGGGAACACCAGGGGGGCTCGCCGCCCAAAAAAGGCAACGGAACGCATGCAAACCCAAGAAACGGCCGAGCCCCTTTTGAAAAGTAAGGGTTCCTTATTCCTGCCAGACCCTGTAGGAAGAGCATGGGCACGATGCCCAACAACAAATGCGGTCCCAAACCAACAGCGGCCGCCGCAGTTGAGTGAGCGGCCTTCTGCCTCAAGGAAATGGGCACGATGCCCGACAGCAGGTGCTGTCCAAAACCGACAGCGGCCGCTGTTGGGTGGGCGGCCTTCTTCCTCAAACGGACAGCGACCGCGGCGGCGCCGACAGCGAACCTCTGGACCCACTGTCTCCGTCGGAGGCGCCTGGTAGTTCGAGCACTGGACCAGCAGTCGGGAAGGAGGATGATGATGCGGAGGAGGAGGAGGAGGAGGAGGAGGAGGAGGAGGAGGAGGAGGAGGAGAGAAGGGGAGGAGAATGAGGGGGAGGAGAGGGGGGGAGGAGGGGGAGGAGTGGGGAGGGGGGGGAGGGGAGGAGGGGGAGGAGGAAGAGGAGGGCACCCCCTTCGGCCGTCCCGATGCTTGGCCTCCCTGGCGCACTGCACGCCCGGGCCCGGCCCGTGGTGGCCGTCGCCGTGCCTGGCGCCCGCCTCGAAGCGCCCGACGTAGCGGCTGCCGTCGGCGTACTGCTCCGAGCCCATGCCCGAGCGCTCGTCCTGCACGGGGGGAGACGGGCGAGGAGGTCCCTTTTCAACGCGCGGGAGCTGGGCCGCAGCCCGTGCAGACGAGGTGGCCTCCAGGAGCCACGCGCGCGCGCCATGGAAACGACACGTCGAGGCAAGCCTCGGCTCCTGCGGGGGAGAGGGCCCCACGGTCGAGCCCGACTTTGCGTCGCAGTCCCTTGCGAGGACGCACGTCCTCCCATCTGGCGGCGGTGGACAAACCTCCCTTTAGTACACCTCCCCTTAGTGAAAACGGCCTGGCACCGAAACCGACGGACCTGGACCCGCAAACATGACGGCCGCGACGCCCTCTCGCGAACCGAAAACGGCCAGTTCCTCAATCGACGCGTCAGGGTAGGAGGTCTGTCCACCTCCGAATCGGACTGCTTTCAGGGGCGCACTGGCCTTGGGCGACGAGGTCTGCGCAGATCCGCCGCCGCGGCGGGGCGGCGCAGGATCGCTTCCCTGGCCAGGCCAGGGGCCGGAGGGCGCCAGCACCGCTCCCGCGGGGGGCCCGGCCCGAGGGGTGGGCCTGGCCGGCGGCGGTGGACGTGTGCGCGCGCGTGCAGGCCGCGCCGCCCGAGCAGGTGCTGTGGCGGGCGGAGGGCGGTGCACCCCCACGGTCGGGAGAGGCGGGCGGAAGCATGAAGCAGGAAGGCGCCCCGGAAGTTGGCCGGGTTCCGTCCGCCCCCGTGGGCGGACGGAGACGGTGAAGCCACGCGATCAGCGAGGTAGGGAGGCGCGCCTCAAGTAGACTGGACTGTGGCAGTCCAAACGTACCTACTTTCAGCGACCGAGGAGCACCCTCGCGGCGGCAGCCCCGGGGGGGAAGCGAGACGGGGCGGGCCTTCTCAGAAGGGCCGCAAGTCCCCCGGCCTTCTGAGAAGTCCCCCCGCGCGGCCGCCCTCGTCGTCGCTCCTGCCTCTTGCACGCTGGGCAGTTCGCGTCTCGGTTGCCCCGATTCGCCTCACGCTGGAGCCGACTGCCTCTGACCTCGCCGCCGACGAAATAAGGATGCAGATCACGGAGAGAGTGTGATCCACCGCCGCTTTGCTGTGAAACGTTCCCCCCCTTCCTCCGGAACCCGGGGTTCCCCCCCCACCGAAAATCCCCCCTCCCAACCCCCCCCCGAAAACCGACCGAGGGGGCTCATTACTGAGTCGAACACCCTCACCCCCTGGAAAACCGAGTGGGGTCACTACCGGTTCGAAGCCCCCCCCCCACTCGCCGCCGGCAAACGACTCCTGGGTCCCCACCACCGTCCTCACTACCGCCCTCACCACTGTCCCCACCACCACCGTCCCCAACACTGTCCTACTGTCCCCACCACTGTCCCACTGTCCCCACTGTCCCCACTGTACCACCACTGTCCCCACTGTCCACAGCAGTGCCCCCACCACTGCCGCACTGTCCACACTGCCCCCATCACTGTCCCCACTGCCCCTACTGTCAGCACCACTGTCCCACTGTTGTCAATGTCCCCACCGCTGTCCCACTGTGCTGTCCTTCTGTCCACACTGTTCTCACCACTGTCCCACTGGCCCCACTGTCCCCACCACTGTCCCCACTGTACCACTGTACCATTGTCCAACCACCGTCCTCACCACCGCCTTCGCCAGTGTCCCAACCACCACCGTCCCCACCACTGTCCCTCTGTCCCCACTGTCCCCACCACTGTCCCACTGTCCCCTCACCACTGTCCCCACCACCACTGTCCCCACCACTGTCCCACTATCCCCACTGTCCTCACTGTCCCCACCGGCTCCCCCACCACTGTCGCACTGTCCCCGCTGTCTCCACCACTGTCCCTACCACGGTCCCACTCCTCTCCCCACTGTCTCCGCTGTCCCCACCACTGTCCCACTGTCCCAGTCCCCACTGTTCCCACCACTGTCCCCAATGTACCCGCCGCTGTCCCACTGTGCTGGCCCACTGTCCCCACTGTTCCTCCACTGTCCCCAATGTACCACTGTCCCATTGTCCCACCACCGCCCTCACCAGCGCCCTCACCACTGTCCCCACCACCACCGTCCCCACCACTGTCCTACTGGCCCCACTGTTCCCCACACTGTCCCACTGCCCCCTCACCGCTGCCACCACGACAACCGTCCCCACCACTGTCCCTCTGGCCCCAGTTTCCCCACCACCATCCCACTGTTCCCACCTTTCCCACCACTGTCCCCAGTCCCCACCAGTGCCCATAACACTGTCGCACTGTCCCCACTGCTCCACCAGTGTCCCCACTGTCCCATTGTCCCCACTCCCCACCACCAACCCCGCCACCGTCCCAACCACTGTCCCCACCAGTCCCCGATCCGGAATGGGGGAGGAGGGGGAAACGTTTGCCGGCGGCGAGAGCGGGGGGGGGGGTCGAACTGGCAGTGACCCCCCCTCCCTTTTCATGATGGACCGGGGGGAGGGGCTGAACCCCCAGACACCCCCCCCCCGGTTTTCGAAGGGGGGGGGGGGACGGGTTTGAAACCCCGCGTGACCCCCCTCCAGGTTTTCCAACAGCAGCGGCAGAACACGCACTGTCAGATCTCGCCAGACCAAGCCTGTGAGCGGACGGCGCACGACGTACCCATGCGGCGACAGGGGGGGCGCAAAGCTCTCCGGCCAGCCTGGGACAGGCGACCGCTCTTCGTCCGAGGAGCTCGGCGGCCAGCCTGGGGGACAAGTGAGAGGGGGCGGGCCTGCTCAGAAGGGTCGCAAGCCCACCGGCCTTCTGAGAAGTCTCCTGAGCCTTCCCCGAAGGCGCAGAGCACTTCTCCTCCTCCTCCTCCTCCTCCTCCTCCTCCTCCTCCTCCTCCTTCTTCCTCTCCTCCTCCTCCTCCTCCTCCTCCTCCTCCTCCTCCTCCTCGTCCTCCTCCTCCTCTTCCTCCTCCTCCTCCTCCTTCTCCTTCCCCTTCTGAGAAGTCTCCTGAGCCTTCCCCGGAGTGGGAGGCCAGAGGGCTTCTGAGAAGCCCGACCAACGAGCACCGATGCCGCTGCTCCCCGGACCTCTCCTGGGGTGCGCTGTGGCGGGAGGTCGAGGCGAATCCAACGGTGGCGACGAGGGCCTTCCAAGAGGTGCAAAAAGGGATGCACGAGGGGAAGATGGCGGTATGGGTACCTTTTCCTCCTCCGACTCTCTCCATCACTTCCCGCCCTCGCTCGCCGCCCGCGAATCGGCTTCACGCAAGTGTGAGTGACCTTTGGTGCGCGGATTTAGGGGGGCGCAAGGTGGCCAAATCCAAGCGCGCAAGCAGCCGCTATCGCACCGCGCACAGCGATCGGAGGGACCTTGATGAGCCCGCACCAAAGGCCACTCTGGCGAAGGGTCACTCGTATGTGTAGCCGATCTTACTTCCCCCTCCTCCTCCTCCTCCTCCTCCTCCTCCTCCTCGTCCTCCTCCTCCTCCTCCTCCTCCTCCTCCTCCTCCTCCTCCTCCTCCTCCTCCTCCTCCTCCTCCTCCTCCTCCTCCTCCTCCTCCCCCCCCTCCCCCCTCGCTCGCCGCCCGCGAGACATCCTGCACCCACTGCCCCTCGTAGAGGCCGCCGTCTGGCCCGGTGCAGATGCCCGTGCCGTGCCGCTGGCCGCCCGCCCACTCGCCTCGGGTCGGGCAAAAGGGGGGATAGCAAAGGGGGGGATTGAGAATCAGCTCACGGAGCTGATTTTCCCGGCGCCTCCCGGCGCCGGAGGCGGCCATGTATCGAGGAATGGGCCCTTCGGTGAGGCCGAAACTGGCTGCATGCAGCAGATTTCGTAACCCCCCCTTTCCCAATCCCCCCCTTTCGCCCGGCCCGATCGCCAGAGTAGCTGTGCCCCTCCGGCGAGGAGCGCACGCCGCGGCCGTGCGCCCGGCCCCCCGCGAAGCGGCCCTCGTGCCGGGTGCCGCGTGGCGAGACCAGCACGCCCCAGCCTGGGAGGAGGAGGAGGAGGAGGAGGAGGAGGAGGAGGAGGAGGAGGAGGAGGAGGAGGAGGAGGAGGAGGGAGGAGGAGGAGGAGGAGGAGGAGGAGTGAGGAGAGGAGAGGAGGAGGAGGAGGAGGAGGAGGAGGAGGAGGAGGAGGAGGAGGAGGAGGAGGAGGGAAGGAGGAGACCCAGGCGGAGGAGGAGGAGGAGGAGGAGACCCAGGCGGAGGAGGAGGAGGAGGAGGAGGAGGAGGAGGAGGAGACCCAGGCGGAGGGGGAGGAGGAAGAGGAGGAGACGGACGATCATGAGGATCGGCGGCGGGCGAGGAGGGACAGTGAGAGGGGGCGGGCCTTCTCCAAGGCTCCGACGTTCCCCAGCCCTCCGAGGAGTTGTCCAAAATCCTTCCCCGAAAAGGCACAGAGAGTTCCTCAGGAGGCCGGGGGTGCTTCTGAGAGGCCCCGCCTCCTTCTGAGAAGGCCTTCTCCTCCTCATTTCCCCCCCCCGCTCGCCGCCGACTTCCGAGCCGCGGCACGCTGCAGTGCAAGAAAACGAGAGCGCTCACGCGTGACTTTACGCGGGCAGCTTACACGCCCATGTCGGCGAAGACGACCCAGTTTGGGGGGCGTCGCTCAGAGAGTACAGTCGAGGCGTTGACCTAAGGAACCCCAAATAAGGAACGGGGCCCCATTTTTCCATCTATAAGTCAAACTTTGATTCCCATCGAAAACCAAAGGGGGAAACCTCAGGCAAGCTGTAAAACAATGAAGGAACACGGAGCCCCTCCCCAACGAGAAGGGTTCCTTCTTCAGCGCCCCGACTGTATCGGAAAGGTGCGTCGGATCGAACCGGGCCGCATCGGCGCGCGGCCGTGACCGGACCCGATCGGCAGCACCGTGCGAGCACCGGGCCACATGGGATCGTCGGGACAGATCGCAATCGGCACAGATCGGGCTGGGCTGGGCGTACAGTCGGGGCCCTGAAGAAGGAACCCTGAAAAAGTTTAGCTCATGGAAAAATGGGGCCTCGTTCCTTATTTAGGGTCCCTTAGGTCAACGCCCCGACTGTACTCGATGTCGAACCGACATCGGGCCGATGTCCTAGCGGGCCCTGCAGTGCGCCTACGGAAGGTTCGTGCCGTGACGGCCAACCCGCGGGTACGGTGCGCCTTCCTGCCCACTGAGGAGGGGAAACTGGCCGGGAACGGTGTCATGCTAGGGTTGGCTCAGGATGCGATTCCTCCAAGATCTGGCGGCCCTCGCTGCTGGAGCCAGTGCAGAGCAAAAGGAAATCCTGGAAATCCTGGGATTCTAGATGAAGGTATCATCATCATCATCATCATCATCATCATCATCATCATCATCGTCATCATCATCATCATCATCATCATCATCGTCATCATCATCGTCATCATCATCATCATCCTCATCATCATCATCATCATCATCACCATCACCATCATCATCATCCTCATCATCATCATCATCATCATCATCATCATCATCACATCATCATCATCATCAGCAGCAGCAGCATCCTCCACGTCCTCCTCCTCCTACTCCTCCTCTTCGTGATCATCACCATGATCATCAGCAGCATCATCATCATGATCAGCATCATCATCAGCAGCATCATCATCAACATCATCATCGTCGTCAGCAGCAACACCATCATCACCACCATCGTCACCATCATCGACACCGTCCACGTCACCATGATGTCGATCAACATGTCAAGCATCGTCGCAACCATCAGCTTGCACCGCCAACGCTATCATCTGCTAAATCATCATCATCAGCAGCATCACCATTGTCATCCTCAGCTTCCTCATCCTCATCTTCATCATCATCTTCATCACCACCATCATCATCATCATCATCATCATCATCATCATCATCATCATCGCCATCATCCTCATCTTCATCTTTCTCATCCTCATAATCGTCTTCATCATCATGCTCCTCCTCCTCATCATCCTCATCCTCATCCTCATCCTCATCTTCATCATCGTCACCACCGCCTCCACCACCATCATCATCATCATCATCATCATCATCATCAGCATCAGCATCAGCATCATCATCATCCGTATCATCATCATCGCCATCAGCAGCAGCAGCATCATTATCATCATCATCCTCATCTCCCCCATCCTCATCATCATCCTCATCATCATAATCCTCCTCATTATCACCTTCATCCTCATGCCCATCCTCATCTTCATCATCGTCACCACCACCACCACCACCACCACCACCATCATCATCAGCATCATCATCACCATCAGCATCAGCATCCGTATCAGCATCATCAACATCTCCCGCATCCACATCCTCATCCTCAACTGTATCATCATAATCAGCAGCATCATCATCATCATCTTCATCATCCACATCCTTATCCTCGTCCACAGCTTTATCATCATGAAAACCACCGCCACCAGCATCATCATCATCCACATCATCATCCTCATCCTCATTATCATACTCTTAGTCTTCACCACCATCATCACTACCATCATCATCATCATCATCATCATCATCATCATCATCATCATCATCATCATCATCATCATCATCATCATCATCATCATCCACCTCCTGCACATCAACATCCTCATCCGCATCCCCATCCTGATCTTCATCATCACCACCATCACCACCACCACCATCATCATCATTCTCCTCATCATCCTCATCCTCATCCTCACGCTCGTCTTCCTCATTCTCGTCCTCATCCTCATCATCAGCATCATCATCCCCATCTTCATCTTCATCACCATCACCACCATCATCAGAATAATCATCATCAGCATCATCATCAGCGTCGTCACCATCATCATCCTCAGCCTCACCGTCATCATCATCGTCACCACCATCATCATCACCATCAGCATCATCATCAGCATCCTGATCCTGATTATCATCCTCATCTTCATCATCGTGACAACCGACATCATCATCACCACCGTCACCACCACCATCATCATAATCAGCATCATCACCGTCCTCATCATCATCATCAACATCCCCACCCTCATCATCATCCTCGTGTTCATCATCATCATAATCACCATTGTCATCATCATCAGCATCATCATCCTCATCGTCCTCATCTTCATCCACATCCTTATCCTATCCTTCACCATCATCCTCAGCATAAACATCACCATCATCATGATCATCATTGTCATAATCATCAGCATCATCATGATCATCCTCATCCTCATCCTCATCATCACGACACCACCATCATCCTCATCCTCCTCATCATCACCACCATCATCATCCTAATCATCATCATCTTCATCCTCATCATCATCATCATCCTCATATTTATCATCGTCATCAACACCACCACTATCATCATCATCACCCTCCTCCTCCTGATCATCCTCATCCTCATCAGTTTCCTCATCTTCCTCATCCTCATCCTCATCCTCATCTCTCCTCCTCCCCCTGTCCCCCTCCTCCTCCCCCTCCCCCTCCCCCCTCCTCCCCCTCCGCCTCGCAGAGGTGACGATCCTGGCCCGACCAGCGGGGCCCCAACCTGCTCCCATCCCCCAGGAGGATCCGGCCTCAAAGGTGCAGAAAAGTAGAGAAGCAGTGGACAAGCTCATGAACCACCTGCAGGCGAAAGTCGCGCCAGCAAGCCAGCATCTCCCCGCGACGGGACAGCAGCGGCAAGCGACGATGGAGCCCAAG